ATAAAAACTAGGAACTAACATGTGCACACGTTATGATTTCTGGTTGTCTCCCTACAAAGACAGAACTAAAATGTGGACAAGTTATGATTTATGGCGGTCTCCCTACAAAGTCAGAACTAAAATGTGGACACGTTATGATTTCTGGCTGTCTTCCTACAAAGACACAACTAAAATGTGGACACGTTATGATTTCTGGCTAGCTCCCTACAAAGACACAGCTAAAATGTAGACACGTTATGATTTCTGGCTGTCTCCCTACCCTACAACGACACAACTAAAATGTAGACACGTTATGATTTCTGGCTGTCTCTACAAAGACAGAACTTAAATGCAGACACTTTTTTTCCCATAAACAGGACTTGATTGGCAACATGGATGTCACACTGGATGTCCTTTTCAAATTCTCGTTGAGTACAGACATCATCAATGTAAGTATTGTAGTAGTAACGCCTGCATATACTCCCCAGATCTTATCATTGTGTACATGTACAGTCATCATCAATGTAAGTGTTGTACAATTAAAGCCTGCATATACTACTCAGATCTTATCATTGTGTACATGTACAGTCATCATCAATGTAAGTGTTGTACAGTTAAAGCCTGCATATACTCCTCAAATCTTATTATTGTGTACATGTACGGACATTATTGTAAGTGTTGTACAGTTAAAAGCCTGCATATAATCCTCACATCTTATCATTGTGTACATGTACAGTCATCATCAATGTAAGTGTTGTACAATTAAAGCCTGCATATACTCCTCAGATCTTATCATTGTGTACATGTACAGTCATCATCAATGTAAGTGTTGTACAGTTAAAGCCTGCATATACTCCTCAAATCTTATTATTGTGTACATGCACAGATATCATTAATGTAAGCATTATACAGTTAAATCTTGCATATATTCCTCAAATTGTATCATTGTATACACGTACATGCATTATCAATATCAATATTTTAGTGGTATAGCTTGTTTATGCTTTTTAAAGCATTTTGTGCATGTACAGACATTAATTTAAGTTTCGTACAGGTGAAATACGGTAATACGTGCAGCAGGGGAAACCAACCCTGAGCTTCATGAACTCAGGTGGGCCCACTCTCTGAAAATGTCTAGGAGCTCGTGGGCCGAAACATTTGTTGACGAGAGTTTACGTCTACTGATGATTGGTAGACCCCTGCTGTACATTCTCCCCTGTGGAGTTTCTTCTTATTCTTAACACTGCTTGACTGGATTTCTGTAAAGTATGGCGGGTAAGCTGAGGAAAGGTTTTTTTTTTTTTTTGGGGGGGGGGGGGGGGGGGGGGGGCAAGAAATTTACGGTGAGTTCGACGTTAGTCTCCCTAGACCCGCCCATATACACACTAGCTCACTTCTGATTGGTAGTTTTTGAAATTCACACAAGTGTTTTTTTTTAAACTGTCCTTGAAAGTCTTTCTCAGACTAAACTCATTTCAAATGTCTCACAGTTTACTTGTTCTCCTCAAGGGGTTGTGCTATTTGCACGAAAGTCCTGCAAAGTGTCACGGTCGGTTGACTAGCGAAGTCTGTCTTGTGGATAATCGATGTTCCGTGAAATTAGCAGACTATGCCTTGCCCTGTCTGTACTCGAGCATCCTGGAGGATCCCTGCTCGCAGGATTATAAAACAGGTATTATTGTCATGAGTATTCTTTACATCGTATTTATGGCTAGGTCCTCTAGTTTGGTCTTAGTGGCTTCGGTTAGCCATAGCAAGATTACAGTCAGTAAAAAAGAAAGGACACACATATAAGACGCTGGATTTTGACAAAACAAGAGACAGACTAGAGTGACCATTGAATATGGTTGTTACTTGGTAAATATCACGCCCATCTTGAGCTAGAGAAGGCCGTAGTAAATACACACGGTGTGTAGTTATGTGTAGTATATCAGTGATTCCCAAGTGAGGGGTGGGGGGTGGGAGGAGGGGGGACCATTTGAAGTTAAAGTAGAGAGAATCGATTTGATTGCACCAGGTTCTATCCCATATGGCTCAGTCTTTCTCCACCGAACGACTAGCCGCCTGCCGAGAGCATCGCACAGAGGACACACCTCATAGCTCCGGCGACGATAATCAGGAATCTTGGTTAAAAAATATCACTGGTGAACTGAAGGGCGCAGCTGTGGAGTGAACCAACGACCTTCAGGGCGCGAGGGGAACAGCTTGACCAATTCGCCACGGAGACCCACCCCCCTCCTGGGGGGGGGGGGGGGGCATTTACAATGTCCTAAATAACATTTCAAAATTATTGTTAATATTATTTTTGTTATATTTCAAGAAAGGTGGCTATTAGCTTTTTCAGTACCAAACAATACACTATACATTTCTGAATAATGGTGTGATACACTATGCCCTTGCTGTCTTCTATCACAGGCGTGTAGTGTATTAACAATTTGTATCGGAAGTATTAGTTTGACTTCTGTCCCGGGAAAATGGAACATATTGTGACCACTGGAAAGATCTGTGGAAGAAGGAATAGAGGAAGACAACGAGAGAAGATTCTTGACAGTCTTGTTGCATGGCAGCACACGAACTGATACATGCTGCAGGAGATCGCAGATTGTGGAGAGGCATGATCGCCTAAGCCAGTCGGCAGGGCACCTGATAATGATGCAGATGTGACAACTGTTATGCAAACAGCTTGCCACATGATGGTGATGATGGTTGAGACCATGTACACGCTTGAATATCTTGTGCATTGGATACCCTACATATAGGTTAATCGGCATCATTTGGGCTACCATGTAGCATTTATTTTTCACCTTCGTTACGAATGTTTGCAATGGAATACGGTACTTTGTGAATTTAAAACCCTTCTCCATACCTTTAGGCATAACGGGAATACAGGGCTAGACTTATATTTTGTAAACCTGTCGGCACTCGTTGTTTGATGTGGTCAACATCACGCCGGCCACCTTTACTTCCCAGAACTTTCTTATGAAGTTCAGTGTTCAAAATATTTATTATTTACCCTCTGATCATTTTCTTTTAAGCATGTCTTTGGAAGGCACCAGAGGTTTTGAGAAGCGGGGATCGAAGAGGTTCCCGTGAGTCAGATATTTACAGTTTTGGTATCATCCTTTCGGAGCTCATCGCCAGAGAATTTCCATATTACAACGAGGTTATGTACCTCACCACAGAAGGTAGGTGCACGATCATCCTCATGTGGCAGGGTCTTTGTAGAACACCGCTATTATGACGGTCTGCCTGAAAGAAACTCGATTTCACACGAGGTCTCCCATATCGGGTACTTTCATATCCAGTGAGTTACTTATATCTTGTGATTTTGAACCTCTGCTCCTCCTTCCTGGTACCATGCCTTCTGCTTAAAAAAAAAAAAAAAATTCAATTTTCAGCCGTAGCGTTTGATTTTGCAAAAATATTTCAACTTCAAAGACGAGATTCTGATTGTTAGCCAATCTTTCTTGATGTTCAGATCATTTAGAATGTCAGTATCTCTGTCCCAATGATATTTTTAGAATCTGTCTGTAGCTTATCAGCTCAAAAGCCAATATTTTCTTCCCTAGAACTGAGAAATAGTCCACGACACCCATCCTGTGTTGCTACAGGGAAGATGCATGCTCTCAACTTCATGCTCTCAACTTCATGCTCTCAACTTCATGCTCTCAACTTCATGCTCTCAACTTCATGCTCTCAACTTCAACTTCGAGCTGGTGCACGAAAGGGGCTATAATTATCATCATCAACATCATTATCATTTAGCAGGTCCTGTACAGAAGATCGCTGTCAGAGAAAAACCACCTGAGAAAATCTCGGCCCCTCACCAGCTCCTCCTTCGCATGTACTTTCCAGTCCAATATATCTTTTCTTACCTCCAGCGAACAAATGTGTACAACGTCCCCAGCCTTTCTTACTCTGAACCGTCATCTCTATTGTTGTTCTTTCCAAGCCTTTTCTACCTTTCTGACCCAAATTATTTCTGTTTCCAAGACATGACTCTGTTTTCGAGCCAGCTGTCCTTGAAGTTCATATCTTTTTTTTTGTTATTTTTATTATCAGCATCACCGCCACTAATTTGATTATCGGCTGTTATGACTATTAAAAGAAACAATACAATATTTATACCGAATTTAGGTTACCAATGTCAGTCTTGGACATTGAGAAAAGAACACGAAAGAAAACTAACCAATGAGATTGAAACCAACGATGCCAGCAGTAAGAGCGTACAACCTGAAAATCGAAACATCAAGAAGCAGAGGAAGACCGAGAAGAAAATGGATTGAAGGAGTCACTGTCACCTTGAGACTGCATAACATCAAAAACCAGAAATCGATTGAGCGCGCCCTGTCCTGTCTGCCAATCGTCCGATTAACTGCGACGCCTAGAGGCATAAGCAGATATTGACAATATGAGAAGGACAAGATAAAGACACGGCAAATACCAAAGAGCGCTATATTTGTTTCGCTTCCTTTGGCATAAATACCTAAAAAAAAAATTTATAAGTGCAGGTAAGGAAAAAAAAACGCAAATTTGCTTTTTAAAAATATAATGACATTAAAGTACCCAAGTTGCGCGGAAATCGCATAACAGTGTTTTCATGTTTTTTTTAAATTCTCTTCTGTGTACCAGGACCTCATTTTGGAGGAAGAAAAGATTAGATCAACTCTTAACAAACATGTCGTAAAAGGCGACCAGTTAGGAAAATCTCCTTCAAAATCGAAGTGCTTCTACCTGAGAGGTCAGGAACCAACAGATTACACACAAATAAACCAGATCTGTAAAACAGATGTGCACGTAAAACTCAACATATGGAAAGAGTTTGAACAAAGAAGACATAATAGATTGCACAATTTACTGCCTACCATATTTAGCTGTATCTCGTCAGGTGCTTACTACAGTAACAATTAAATAAAATGCAGCAACTAAGGGAATTCTGTATGACTGAAGTACAGTTTCACCACTCTAAAGAAGACTTAATTTTTCACCATGGCAATAGCAATGTCACTATAATTTCTTTCTGTTTACTAAATTCAGGACGAAGGAAAAACGAATAGTGGAACAAGACCTAAGTTCACAAGTGTGTGTATGTGTGCATGAGTGTGTGCGTGTATATATGTGTGTGTGTGTGGGTTTTCTTTGTGTGTGTGTGTGTGGGGGGGGGGGGGGTCGCGGGTATATATATATATATATATTAAGGTTAGTTGTGTATCCTTTACAGGACGTTGCAGAACCAACCCCAGCAGGCCCTTTCTGCTGTGTAGTTTCTCTAGGCAAATTCACGTCCAGTAGTTTGTCACTGCTACTGGACGGTCGGTCCCTTGATACCACTGTCGAAACCAACGCAAGGCGCGTGGCCCGCAGCTTGTATGGAACCCAGCAGCCTGGCATTACGAAGCGTTCGCATCGACTTAGCCACAAAGCAGACACACACACACACACACACACACACATATATATATAGAAAGCAAAAAATATAGCATGATATCTCCCCCGCCACCCGAATATATATATATATATATATATATATATATATATATATATATATATATATATATATATATATATTCGGGTATCGGGGGAGATATCATGCTATATTTTTTTGCTTTCTGACACTTTTGACCACAAACAGGACACACTATCGTAGACTTTCTCTGATAAACTTCTATCAATTTTACGGTCAACATCGGGAGGAGAGAGATGGAATATCTCATGTAATCTAGAAAAAGGACTGGTGTATCGCTAACTATTTTTGCTAGTAAGTGCAGTAAGGCTGAATGATTAATTGCTTCTTCACTGGATTACAGAGATTCTGGAGAAAGTGCGCTATGGCTCGAATCCACCGTTCAGACCGAACGTAGACGTTCCTGTGAAGTTGACAGACATCAAGACCTTGATGGAGTGCTGCTGGGCGGAGAACCCCAAAGACAGGCCCTCTGCACAGGCCGTGAAAACTACATTGAAGAAGATAGCAGTGTAAGTTGTTAGTACCGTTTCTTCTTCCTTCTTCTTCTTCTGTCACCACAATGTTGGCAGGTTGTAGCCCAGCAACGTACTTTTCCCTAAGTCGTTCTTGACTTAATTTGTATTGCGCTTCTTTGGTGACTTTAGTAATAATCAGCTCCGCCACCTGCTAGTCTTTTATATTTTTTTTTTAACATGGTCTTCTCGCTTTCTGCCAACATTTTGTGCTGTAGAAGGTTTCATACAAAGTTTGATCTGACTGCATTCCTACTTTACGTCCAATTATTTCATTCTCTTACTTTCAGTGTAATTCAGTCAGGGTCTTGCGGTAACTTCTTCCTTCTCTACGTTCGCCCCCAACTCTTTCGGTACCAAGGAAAGTATCATGTGTTAATTTATAACTAACTTAATTATCCTGTGTATCAAAACAAAATAGGAAAAAAGCAGTTTACATGTTATGTTGTGATTTACAGCTATGCTTTGATATCTTGCTTTTAGTCGAACATATGCAATTTCAAAATATCTTTGTTAGTTCCCATTTATGTTTAAACAGCAGTGTATATTTTATCACCCCCCCCCCCCCCCCCCCCCCCCCCCACCACCCACCCAACAAACAAAAAACGAAAATAGAATCAGTCCTGGAACTCACACGGGGACAGCAAAACATGTTTGTTCAATTAAGTTCGCAAATATAAACATCATCATCTAGTTGCTTCTTGGCACAACGTTTTTCCATCACTCACAGCCAGGTTAAGGAAACTTAATCCCTTATCATATGTCTAGATTCATACACTTTCTTTTCCAAGCTTTTTCTTTAGCATAGACAGACGTAGATATAAATTTGCACCCTGTCCTAAATAGAACTATCTAGCCTGTGGGTCATGTAAGGTTCACGAAATCATTTTAGTGTGAAGAAGGAGGAGAAGTAAAAGAGGCGGAAAAAGAAGTATAATTTAAAGAAGATGGAGAAGAAGAAGAAGAAGAAGAAGAAGAAGAAGAAGAAGAAGAAGAAGAAGAAGAAGAAGAAGAAGAAGAAGAAGAAGAAGAAGAAGAAGAAGAAGAAGAAGAAGAAGAAGAAGAAGGAAGAGGAGGAGTAGGAGAAAGAGGAGGAAGATGAGTAGGAGGAGGAGGATAAAATGAAGAAGAAAAGGAGGGGAGAAGAAGGAGAAGGACGAGATGAAGGAGATAACGATAACTATGGCAAAGAACCTGAACATTGCAGAATGATGTCCGTGTCATCTGCCAAGTGCGTGATTAAGTGACTAGTGTAACACTACTGAAACACATTGTGGTTTCAGATCCCTGGGTGAAACTGGCAACCTGCTAGACAATCTCATGCGCAGAATGGAACTGTACGCTAACAATCTGGAGAAACTAGTTGAGGACAAGACTGTGGAACTCAGAGAGGAAAAGAAGAAATCGGAAGAACTTTTGTATCAAATACTTCCAAGGTAAATGTGTGTCTGTGTGTGTGTGTTTCATCCTACCCAGAATGCTTGAAAAACAAATTCTTCTATAGTGTATTGTATCATCCTCGTTGCCGTCGTCCTCATCATCATCCTCATTATCAACATACTCATCACGTCATCGTCATCATCATTATTATCATCATCGTCACCGTGATGAGGATGACAAACATGATAATCATCCACCATTGATTTAAGCTTTAAGATGAGGAACACTCAGTATTTCACTGTCCCTTGATAAGTATCACTGGCTATTGTTAATACATATTGATATACAGTGTCTTTAATGTCATCAGTCCATCTTCCCTCGGAAGTCCTCTTTTCCTCATACAGGATATGTTTAGGGAAAGCGTCTGTGTATGTAACTGTTGTGGCTGCATGATAACTAGATGACCAAACTATTTTTCTTCTTCCTGAATCAGTAAAAGGTGCCTTTCCCACAATCTGATAGCACCATTTCTCACCTGGTGTCGGATTTTTACGTCATATCAAATCCCTCTATATCGGCATTCGAGTTTCTACGTTTTTAAAGGTTTAAGGTTGAGAAGATCGACTTCATTGCCCAGGGAAAAAACCTAAGTAGCTTTCCGCTTGCCAGGAATTTGCACAGGACAAGAACACCGTAAGCTCAGCGAGGAGCCCGGCAGTCTCTGTGAAAATTGCGTCTGTAAACGGAAATATCCTTTCCGTGAAACAAACAGATCTTCAGATTGCATAGCACACGGCTAAAACAGTCATAATGACCCAGACCTAAATAACAGACCAGTCATTGCCGGGGATTAAACTCTAACCACCTTCTTGGTAAGGGCAGAGCACTGCTTTTGTAGGAAAAAAAAAAAAAAACGCTGCAAATAGGCTTCTTTTTCTTCAGCATTCCGAGCCCTTGAGGCTCATTGATGCAGATATCACCCGCTTCCACTCTTCTCTCTGATTGTTTAAAAAGATCTAAGACCTAATGCCTACCCAAATACGTGTGGTAATCTCGATCTTCCTTCCCGAAAAGCGAGGAACCAACAGTCTGCATACCCATGAGTCAGATCTCTATAACAGATGTGCACACAACACTCCGATTCTGGAACAAAAGTGAGCGAATAACCTAAACTTTCCGCCCGAGTTTACAGCCAGTGAACAAGAAGAACAAGAAGATTGCAAATGGTAGAGATTGGAAAGTATAGATAGGGTTTGAAAAAAAAAAAAAAACTAACTTATTTCAGCTTTACAAAAACCACTTACGATAACCAAACAGAGAATTTTGCAGCCTCAGCCTTCATCAGCAGAACAACGATAAGAAATAAAACACCACACGCACGAGCGCGCACACACACACCCACACACCCCCCGCCCACTCACACACACACACACACACAAACTGTCTGACAGGACTGCATTACGGTTTCCGAATATTATGTAAACAAATAAAGTAAAGTAAAAGACCCTTTTCCACGTTATTGAGCGTATTGGGCATAAATATGACTGGACCTATATTTTATAGACCTATCGGCAATTGGTGGGTGTTGTTGTCAGCATCACTTCCAAGGACTGCACCTGGTAGCCACTCAAGGCTGGGTTTATCTAAGAGTCAAGGTCATTTTTTGCGAAACGTCCGGGTCCGTCATGACACTAACCCACGACCTTCCGATCCGGAGGCGAGCGTCTAGCCATTTTACCACTCCCGTAAACAAAAACAAAAACAAAAATATCAATGAACAACAGAATTGTTTAAACAGTGGTTCTCAACGTGCAGGTTGCGACCATTTTTGGATCGAACGACCCTTTCACAGGGGTCGCCTAAGACCACCAAGGTTAGTTGCGTATCCTTTATAAGACGTTGCAGAACCAACCCCAACAGCCCCTGGCTATTGTGTGGTTTTTCAAAGCAAATTTACTTCCAGTAGTTTGCCACTGCTTCCTGGACGGTCGGCTTTCTTGATACCGCTGTCGAAAACAACGCAAATCGCATGGCCCGCAGCTGGGATCGAACCCGGCATCCCGGCATTAGAAACATTCGCATCGATTTAACCACAGAGCCGACACCCTAAGACCATCAGAAAACACAAATTCATTGAAGTTTTGAAGGAAGAAATTTGTTTTTGTGTCGCCACAACACGAGGGAACTGAATTAAGGGGTCGCGGCATTAGGAAGGTTGAGAGTCACGTGTTTAAAGTATGTAATAATTCCCTGCGCAACCGTGTATTGTTTTCAAGATCAGCTGTCGCTTCTGTGGCAGTGTGGGCCTTTCCTATAGTTAGTTATTTCACGTGTTTGTTGGTGTGCTCGTATATTTTCTCTCTACCGTCTTCTCGGCTTGCCTCTTGGTCTACTTGCCTTCAGCTCGTTTCTGAATATTGTATTGATAAGCGAAACCATAGATTTTATTATTATCCCGGCTTGTAATGAAAGATTTTCGTTTGCAGACCAGTTGCAGACAAGTTGAAGGCCGGGCTGAAAGTTGAGCCACAATCTTATGACTGCGTGACAATATATTTCAGTGACATTGTCGGATTTACCACTATTTCTGCACAATCTTCATCCATGCAGGTATTGTCTGATTGTATAATAATTGATATTGTTGTATTTCATCCTTAGTCAACAGGTTTTTACAGAAATTTACTCTCGGCACGACACTCTTAGTCTCTCATTCTTGAGCCAAGGAACAAGGAAAAAAAAGGGGCGAAAAAAAAAAGGGGATGGTGTGGTAATATCTGCTACCATCTGAGCACAATCTTTATCTCCTCGGGTATTGTCTGACCATGTGCGTCAGTTACATTGTTGAGTTTACACTTATCCCCGCACATTCGACATCCATGCAGTATTACTGACGTAGTCTTTAATTACCATTTTAGTTTTACAGCCTTCTTCCTAGATCTTCTCGATGCACATACTGTTGTCTAGCCGTTTATGTCAGTTACATTGTTGGGGTTTGCTAACATCTTCGCGATAATTATTAGGATTATTACTTTTATTAATTAATTTTAATTTTAATTATATCTCTAAACTTTAATAATTATTATATTTTTTAATGTCTTCTTAAAAAAAAAAGACATTTCTTGTTAGTAAAAAAAAAAAAGATCCCTTTCTAAGCCTTTAGGCTCATGGGGCAAATGGAAAAAGCACCCATATTTTTGCAAACCAATCGGCATTAGGTGGGTAATGTGGTCAGCATTACGCCGGCCGTCTTTATTTCCCCAGACATCCATACTGATACCCATTTTATGCTGGGTGGACCTGGGAAACCCCATAACATAATTAAAATCCGTGCAGCTATTCCTTGTTGTGGCTTTATTTTTCTCTCTCCTATTTCCGTTCGGTGGTTAAGGTTTTGTTTTGCCACAGCCGTTGCTGCTCCCATATTTTGCATTCCCGATGTCTTTCTTTCTACAAAGGTCTCACCTACTTGGGGCTGCAGCCTAAGATTTATTTTTGGTGTGTTCAAAGCTGAAAACTGGCATTCAAACTATATGTATCTGCGTTCGTGTGTTCTTCCCCCTCCCTCCCCCTCCCGGTTTAGACAGCTCGTTTCTTCAAATTATTTACAATATGATGACACAATTCTTAGCTTAACCTAAAACTCGATTGTTTATCTGCAGGTTGTTGATCTTCTGAATGATCTCTATTCTTGCTTCGACGCTATCATTGAGGAGTACGATGTCTATAAGGTATGAGTGATAGTTGGCTGGTGGCTTTTTGCTTTCTTTATTTTTGTTGTTGTTGTTGTTGTTGTTGTTTTGTTTTAATATAACTATTCTGTTGCTTGTTATGAAATTTTCTTAAGGACGCTGCGTTCTTTCAGGTCGAAACAGTACAGTTTGGGACATATGAGCCTTGAAAATATGTAGCAAATGTCTAAGAAAGATTGGTTTCATGATTTCTCTTCCTGCCAGATGCTACAGAAAACAATAGACAGGGTGGCTATTCACAGTACCCTCAAGGAAAGCATAGCGAGTAGATGACTCAGGAGTCGACCGGGAGTCAGCAACAATCCAAAGACAACAAGAAATGCAGGTTAAAATAGGTGTCGCCAGACATGCACACTAAACAGGTAGCCAAAGAAGAATTGTGAGCCAACATAAAACTGGTGTTATCAGTTGCCACACGCTGGGAGATTTGTCCGATGTGTAGAGAGCATAATATGTCCATTGATAAACTAACTAAACTAAAATCTCCAAGAAGACTGCATTAGAACGTCCCTTTTCCTTTAACAAACGCAGACGCCAGATGTGCGAGCAACATTAGTTCACATTTCCAGAAAGCATCTTAGAATGTTATCAGATCATTAATGAACAGTACAGATAGACTGATTGAGATTATTAATCAACATGTTTATGGTATTTCATTGTGCACAGACTCCAAGCCAGTTTTAAGTCAAAAGCCTAATGATAGCTCTTAACGGATATGCATCATTATGAGGGAAAAGGAATACAGCCACTACCTCTAAACAAACACGTCATAGAAACGATTCAGTGTGCTGAAATTAGTTGAGCTGGGCCTAAATGCTACATCCATCGGAGCCTAGCTGTAAAAAACAATATAATGTATCAACTGCCCTTTTAAGGGCAAGTAGAGTTGAACAAGAAGTTAACACTGACATTCAAAGCAGCCATGCAAGTTTCACCTGTCAGTTTCGCTTTCACATTTGCGTCAACCCAAACTAAACTGAGAACACAGTTATATCCTGTGAAAAGACAGCGTACTGTGCGATATCGTACGCATAATCTAAGCGTCGATTGATCTCTACAAGAATCAGTCTAGCGTCATATGTTCAATGCCACATTTACCTGAAAGGGTCCTTTACCCTTTTGTAAAATAAAAATAATAACAAAACATTTAAGTATTCTCAGCTAATGATATCATTATGAGTTGCCATTTCTAAAAGCCTAGGCTGTGAAAAAATATTTCTCGCTAGCTTCTTCATAGTGAAAATTGTAGTTCATCCTCCCTGCAATGGACTGTTAATAAATCGTTTCTACAAAAACAGTAGACTGCAGAGCAATCACTGCTGTCATTGGGAATGCTAGATTGTGAGGGCCCAGTCTCTTCCATGGCTTTTAACGGCTGTCTGCTTCCTAACTATCCCATCAGGATTTGAAAAGTTTTTGCTCGCCGCGGTACGGGCCGACGTGTTCATCGCTGTATCCACATGTCTCTAACTTTGAAGACATTTGATTCATTGCCGCCTTTACGCATGGACCCGCTGGTCACTTGCCCGAGGGAGCCAAAAACTAAAGGATCCCATGTTAATATGTGTATATCATTGTAACTGACTCCGAGAGCATGTTGAGAAAGGTGGAGACAGGCGTGATCTTTGAGAGTGACAAGAATCACTTCAAAGTTCCCGGGTAGTTAGCATCCTTTGGATATTTGCTGCAGGTCATGCCGGTGTGTTGGGAAATGAGCAGATGGATAGACTGGCCGGTTCTGCACCACTAGGTGGTGAGCTGCTGTATGACAAGCTGGATGTTGTGAGGTCCCTTTGAAAGCGAGTGAACACTGCCGAGGCACAAATAGATCATTACAGTCTGACAAGAATCTCACTGCGGGGAGTTACAAGTGGATCTGGCCGACGCTCAACACTCAGGGCATCGGCGAGACGTATATACAATCAGACTGCTACTGATACCATAGAAATTTTAACTTTTTGAAGAAGGCGACGGAGCGCTTATGGGGTGTTCCGAGTGCTGTGATATCGATTCTTAATTCAACATATCGACCATTCACGCTATTTCATGTAAATGGTTGTCGAAGAGGGCCTAAGCAAGCTGGTTTGCCTAAAGGCCCATAATACTGTTTAGACGGCTCAGGTCTGATTTATGATTCCGTCTAAGGTTGAGACGATTGGAGACGCTTACATGGTTGTCTCCGGGCTCCCTCAGCGTAACGGCAATCTGCATGCAGTTCACATTGCTCGAATGTCTCTCAAACTACTGCGGGCGATCAGTGAGTTTAAAATCAAACACACTCCCCGCGAGAAGATGCGTTTGCGTATTGGGCTGCATTCGGGTAAGTACCACATCTGTATTTCTTCCTAATAAATGAATGCTGAATTACAACTATGCTACAGTTGTTCTTGGGAGTCGCCATGATGTAGAGGCTAGACGAGTGTCTGTGGATCAGAAAGGTCGTGGGTTCGGGTCCGGACGTTAAAAGTAAAAAAAATGACACTGGCTCCTGGGTCGACCCAGCCTTGAGTGGGTATCAGGTGCAGTCCTGGAAAGTAAAGGCGTTTATGACCACATCTCCTACTATTACCACTATACAATATAGGTCTATACCTATATACCCAATACGCTTGAAGTTGTGAAAAGGGGTCCTTTACTTTAATTCTTACAGCTGTTCTTAGAGCCATGTATGTGCTCATGACTTAAACTTTCAACAAAAATACAAGAATTATTCATTTTAAAAAAAAAATTGTTAGTTGCAATATGATAAAAAGTATTAAACTGGGTATTCTAGTTTTGTAACATCTGGAGATCTATTTATTTTAGAACACAAAAGAATCCATATTGTTTAGCTACGTTTTCCGTGTGGGTTCTGGGACTCCATTGAGGTGAAAACAAGAACAGACCCACTGCCTCCCCAACGAGCATGTGTAAATAAGGGTTTCCTTCGAAGTCATAGTGCATATGCCTGAGAGGAAATAAACCAACAGTCTGCATACAATTAGGTCAGATCTGTAAAACGGATGTGCACGCAACACTCAGGTTCTGGAAGAAGTCTAAATTCCAGAGCAGGTTGAACAACTAGAAATGTCCGCTGTAGTTTACAGCCGGTGAACGCGAAAATTAAAAAAAAAAAAAAGAAGAAGAAGAAGTTTAGCTATGCAAACATAGTGATTCTGTTAAAGTATGGTTTTAATATAGGACTGCTTGGTATCAGCAAATGTTTTTAATTAGTGTTTAGAATCCTTCAATGCTAGTGACGCGTAAGATATGTGATGCTGCCATACGTTTATAGATTAATCGGCCCTAGGCTGTTAATACGGTCAACATCATGCCGGTCGCCTTTACTTCCCAAAACATTATATTTTTAAATTACAATTACCCACTATGTGTTTCCCTGGGGTAATCCCTTGGGTTCTGAGCTTAAATCCCCTGGGACTGAAAGAGTATCAAAAAATTACAATTAATTTCCACTCCCACAAGATTACATATTTTTAACTTCATTTGAGGTTGAACTGGGTATCTGGTTATGCCTAGTGGGTCTGCCATCCAAACAGAGATTCTGTTATCTCAGAGTATAAAATCTACCCCCGGAGTGTACATATCGATCGATGGTTTCAACTACTTGTCCGTCAAGACTGAACCTCCTTAACAGCACATTGCACAGTTGTAACATCTCACAGTATCTCTTGAAAGTGCATTCTACAGAACTAAACAATGCGAAGCAAATAAATAAATTCTTTCAAGTTTAACCCCAACATGCACCAAACCACACACGGGAAACCATTGCTTTATTTTCCTTGCACCAGGTCCGGTTTGTGCTGGAGTTGTGGGCCTCAAAATGCCGCGATATTGTTTGTTCGGAGACACGGTCAATACGGCGTCTAGAATGGAATCCCACGGAGAAGGTAAGTCAATACGACTTTTGATGCACGTTTTCTTTGCTTTGAAGATCGATTCAGGGTCCACCTAGAGTATAAATACTGGTACCAGAGAGATTATATTTGGCAAGAAAATAGTGCAAACACTGACCACGCGACGTATTATCGGCTGTTTGGGCAGTTTAGAGGACATCACTTCTTTTTTTTTTTTAAAGTCAGTCTAAATGACCTCCTCATGCTGTAGCAAAACAAGAATAGACTGCACACCCTACCCCCACCCCCATTCCCATCCCTCTTTTCCCACCCCTTCGTGCCGTCTAAAAAAAAAATTATACGAGGGGAAAAAGACGATCAACTAGAGGGTTTTCTTCGATGTCAGGGTTCATCTGCCTGAAAGTTGGGGAAATATGAGTCTGCATACAAAGTTTGGCATACATGCCACGTAAACATGCATGTCACGTAAACATGCATGCCACGTAAACATGCAGGCCACGTAAACATGCATGCCACGTAAACATGCATACCACGCAAACATGCATGTCATGTAAACATGCAGGCCACGTAAACATACAGGCCACGTAAACATGCATGCCATGTAAACATGCATGCCATGTAAACATGCAGACCACGTAAACATGCATGCAATGTAAACATGCAGGCCACGTAAACATACAGGCCACGTAAACATGCATGCCACGTAAACATGCATGCCAAGTAAACATACAGGCCACGTAAACATGCATGCCACGTAAACATGCAGGCCATGTAAACATGCAGGCCACGTTAACATGCATGCCACGTAAACATGCAGGCCACGTAAACATGCATGCCACGTAAACATGCAGGCCACGTAAACATGCAGGCCACGTAAACATGCAGGCCACGTAAACATGCAGGCCTCGTAAACATGCATGCCACGTAAACATGCAGGCCTCGTAAACATGCATGCCAGGTAAACATGCATGCCACGTAAACATGCATGCCACGTAAACATGCATGCCACGTAAACATGCATGCCACGTAAACATGCATGCCACGTAAACATGCATGCCACGTAAACATGCATGCCACGTAAACATGCATGCCACGTAAACATGCATGCCACGTAAACATGCATGCCACGTAAACATGCATGCCACGTAAACATGCATGCCACGTAAGCATGCATGCCACGTAAACATGCATGCCACGTAAACATACATGCCACGTAAACATGCATGCCACGTAAACATGCATGCCACGTAAACATGCATGCCACGTAAACGTGCATGCCACGTAAACATGCATGCCACGTAAACATGCATGCCACGTAAATGTGTATGCCACGTAAACGTGTATGCCACGTAAACGTGCATGCCACGTAAACATGCAGGCCACGTAAACATGCATGCCACGTAAACATGCATACCACGTAAACATGCATGCCACGTAAACATGCAGGCCATGTAAACATGCAGGCCACGTAAACATGCAGGCCACGTAAACATGCAGGCCACGTAAACATGCATGCCACGTAAACATGCAGGCCACGTAAACATGCATGCCACGTAAACATACAGGCCACGTAAACATACAGGCCACGTAAACATACAGGCCACGTAAACATACATGCCACGTAAACATGCAGGCCACGTAAACATGCAGGCAATGTAAACATGCAGGCCACGTAAACATGCATGCAATGTAAACATGCTGGCCACGTAAACATGCAGGCCACGTAAACATGCATGCCACGTAAACATGCAGGCCTTGTAAACATGCAGGCCACGTAAACATGCATGCCATGTAAACATGCAGGCCATGTAAACATACAGGTCACGTAAACATGCATGCCACGTAAACATGCATGCCACGTAAACATGCATGCCACGTAAACATGCATGCCACGTAAACATGCAGGCCACGTAAACATGCAGGCCACGTAAACATACATGTCACGTAAACATGCATGCCACGTAAACATACAGGCCACGTAAACATACAGTCCACGTAAACATACAGGCCACGTTAACATGCATGCCACGTAAACATACAGGCCACGTAAACATACAGGCCACGTAAACATGCATGCCAAGTAAACATACAGGCCACGTGAACATACAGGCCACGTAAACATACAGGCCACGTAAACATGCAGTCCACGTAAACATGCAGGCCACGTAAACATGCAGGCCACGTAAACATACAGGCCACGTAAACATACAGGCCACGTAAACATACAGGCCACGTAAACATGCAGGCCACGTAAACATGCAGGCCACGTAGTTATCATACACTTATTCATCATGCGAAAGACAAGTAAAGATGGCAGGTTTTATGTGCTAGTGCTTCCATCAATGCACCTCCACGTCTTTAATGGGTCAAAGGTTATGTTATCTTATGTTATACATGCCAGTGAAACTTGGTCAACCTATTTGCACCAAGAGATACGACTTAATAGCTTTCACATGCGATGCTTAAGAAGAATACTTGACATTAAGTGGCAGGACAAAATCACAAACACTGAGGTACTGGAAAGAGCAGGTACTACAACAGTTTTTTCCATGCTCAGTTTACGAAGGCTCCGGTGGCTGGGTCACACCTGGAGAATGGCGGATGGCAGAGTCCCTTAGGACATCCTATATGGGGAATTAAAGACAGGAAGAAGATGTCGAGGCCGATCTCTACTACGTTATAAAGATGTGTGCAAGCGGGACATGAATGATACAGGTATTGAGGCGGACTCCGGGGAACAAAATGCCATGGACCGTGTTGTGTAGAAAGTGCATATCGGGAAGGGAATGAGACTAAAGGAAGAAATGATTGCAGAAAAGATGAAAGCTGAGAAGAAAGGGATTAAACACAAATGTTGTTAACATTGGTCCTGAAATCCCATGCTATCATTGTGGAAGACTTTTCTTGACACAGGCGGGTCTTGCTAGTCACACTCGCCATCGCCCTGCGCTGTGAGTCTCATGCCTCCTCCTAGCGCAATATAACACTATCGCCTGGAAAGACGGAAAGGTGCCAATAAATTATGATAGTTACATCTTTATGGTTATGAAAATGTATAAATTTTTAGGCACGCGTTTTTGTAACCCAGTATCTCCCACAAAATTAATTAAGCTGCTCTTTTCACTAGCCATGATGATCCACTTGAGCTCTTCAGTCAAGGAGATACTGGATCAGTTTGGTACCTTTCAGATAGCTTCCAGAGGACAGATTCTCATTAAGGTAAGTCCATTTATCTATTTCTGTTATTATCACGCATCATTCTGCCACTAATTATGGGGTTCCATTGGCGAAGTAGTCAAGCCGTTTGCCCTGCGCTGTGAGTGTCGTGGTTTTGTTTCTCGGGCTGAGTCGTTCAGTTTAGCATGCAACTTTTACGGAGATCCATATGTAGTGTCGCTGGTGCTACAGAATTCTGGCGTTGTACGAGATTCCATGGAAAAACCCTGTGTGATGAAGTCGATCACTTCAAATTTAATAAGAATCGACATAGCATTAAACGTTCTTTTCTGGGTGTAATCACCTTGTTTTAAGTTACAGCTCAAAGTGTTGAGCCAGACAGACAGTCTATGCAAAGATACGTCTATCACAGAATACCGGAGACCAAAGAGAGAAAGGAGAAGTGAAAGCTTAGAGCGAGGTGAGGGGTAAACCAGAGTTCTAGAAAAAAGGATGTAACACTGATTGCAGATTAAATGAGATCCGTATACTACTAGTTCAGCTGCGAGTGCTTTTTTTGCTATACAGATTGGCCTTGTCAGCCTCAAACAAGGTTATATTTGTGGTCGTTAGTTGTGTGAGGATTTTGTTTGTAATCAGATAGCTGTATTCGTGGTGCAGTCTATCTTCATTTTTTTTTAAATAGTAAGGTGCTCTATTTTATAAATACTGCTTCCTTTATATACTTTGTTACTGACTTCGGTGATTTTAAGGATTGTTTCTATTGGTAATACTTTAAAAAAAGAAGGGGGGGGGGGAGGGCTGGGGGGTTTGGGTCCTTGTCTTATAGAAAACTGTTCTTTATATTTTTGTAGTGTTGAATATATATTGAAGAGATATAATTAACAGACAACGCCGTTCTTGATATTGAGTAACAACAGGGCACAATGAGCTAACATAAGAAAAGACAAAACCAGTTAAAATTATGAAACCTTTACAGTGTATGTATTAAGCAAATAACAGATGGCGAGTTCCTTGGTCCTGAAGGGTTATCAGTAGAACAATCAGGCAGACGTTCAGTCACATAGCTACAAGCCAAATCTGCAAAGAAAGGAGAAGCGTTATTCTAGCCCAGAATGCAGAAAAACCTATATTAGATTCTGCCATTTAGAAGACGAACGATGGAAAGTGACCTGAGTGCGGCATCTTTGACCTGGAAAACTGCACTGAAGATTGCACTGGACAGGAGAGCATGGAAAGTCCTCTCTGAAGCCTCATGTGCCACTAGGCACAACGAGAACTGATGATGATGATTTAGAAGACGGTTGTTCGTATACATCTCCACAGAACGTGTACTCAGCCAGGGCAGAAAGTGGCATCGTTGCAGCAGGATTGTAAACATAATTACAAACAATAAGGTATAGAGGGGAACACCAGTCATAAAATGCTGTGTAGTAATGTCTGCGATTGTGGGTGGTCATAACTGAGAGGCCCTTCATTGGCGCATCAGGCTTACAGCGTTAGACACAATGTGTATACATACTCTGTACTTGACTGATGATGTTTGCAACATCAGGTTGACCACCTTTACTTTCCAGGGCATAACCTGATACCCGTCTTAAGCTGGTTGACCCTGGGAGTCTTGATGAAAAAAACCCCAGCTATAATGAGGTATTCAACCCTTGACACTTCAGCCAGAAGGAAAGCCCTAGTTCCCTGTGCTATAGGTTCATTTTAGTGTCCTATACATTTGATTCAATGTGTGCCTTTGTGTTGTAATTCGAGTAACATTAAAATATTGCAGGGTAAAGGACTGATGAAAACTTACTGGCTAATACGCGAGATCACACAAGATATTGTAGCAGACAAAAGTGACAAGAGACTCCCAGAAGGCAAGTCCTGAGACACGACAGTTTGGTGGATGTACGAGCAGACGTATTTTCTGAAACAGCGAAATACCAAAGTGAAGCCATCAAGTGACTATCTATCACCAGATCGATACTTCTTTTAGTCCATGACATATGGTATATGCGGTCATTTCTATCTACAGCTTATATTTCGTGGCCTTAATGAATTGATGTTCCTCCTTGCCATGACGCCAGACGGTCTTTATCTCTCCACTGGTCTCCTTTTGCTTCTAATTTCCTCCAACTTTCCGGTTGTCACTACATATTAGTTTCCCTTTATCTGCCCACATTAGTCTCTTCATTCGGCCATTAATCAAACAAACTTGACATAACGCAGACGATTTAAAATACACAGGGACAATAGACAATGTACACAACGGTTGAAACCATCAAAGACCTCCAGTTTCAATGTGTACCACATCCCCAGTACACGCCAAGCCTAGCCCCAGTGATGTCAACATCTTTGGACAGCTCAGTGATTACCCAGGAGATCAAGAAAAACTTCAAGGAACATCAAAAAAGTGGTAGATTAATTCTTCACTTTTCAGTACATATCCCCTTTTCACCCCAACCTTTTTTAAAGCTCCCTTGTATATTGTCTTGGATTGCCTCGTGACAAACTGAATATTTTACTCTGTTTTTACCAGTAAGCTAGCTAGGTCTTCAGTAGTTTCTGCACATCAAATGGTTCTAAAAATAATGTTGATTGTAACTGAATTAATGTCAAAATCGACTGAACGTGAGATGTAACTAGCTCCTTATGTTAAGATCAAACACTTTTATACATTTTTCCACTAAAGTGAATCGAAAACGAACCCACGACGTTCACGGGCGTGAGGCAAGTTGCTTGACCACTTTGCCACGGGGACCCTTAAGGTATATATTACAAGTCTAAAGTAAGCATAACAGTCAGCCCTCCAGACACATTTCTCAGTACTCCATTAATAACTTTTTGTGCCAAATCGTTTGCAGAAAGTCATTCTCATCAAAGCAAGCCGAAGAGCCACTCAGTCCCTCTTGCTGATTTTTGGAAATAAAATAAACTTATTTAAATCAAATGAACTGGAACTTTTAAAACGGGCCAATATCATGGCACATGGGTAGTAAGTAAACCATAAGTGCTCAGTTCTTCTAATTCAAGTCTAAGTCCGAATATTCCCAGCACAGTGCACGTGCTCTGTAGCACCGGCGAGGATCCTGAAATACTTGGAGTAGATTTTTAACTCCAAATTGTGACCGGACAGCGCCGTTAGGCTACTCTTTTGGATTTCCAACTGCCAGGGGGAATTGCTAGAAGTCGAAGTCCATGTGAAAAATTCCCAGTCCTTACCGGGGATTAAAACCCGGAACCTCCAGCACTCTGGGCGAACACCATGCCTCGAGACCACGCAGACCCCCCTCCCCCCCCCCCCCCAGTTTAATCAAATAATTTTATATATATATATATATATATATATATATAGATATATATATATATATATATATATATATATATATATATATACATATATACATATATATGTATACCACACACACATATATATATATATATATACATATATACATATATATATATACACACACACATATATACATATATACACATATACACATATACACATATATATATAAATATATACATGTATATATACACACATATATATATAAATATATACATGTATATATACACACACACACATATATACATATATATACATGTATATATATACACACACACATATATATATACAAATATACATATATATATACACACACACACACATATATATATATACACATATATATATATATATACACACACATATATATATATATATATATATATATATATATATATATATATATATATATATATATATATATATATATATATTATAATTTGTGATGTTTGAGCAGTTACAACATTATATTATTATATTAAGATTGTTTTTCTTGAGTTTTTACTACCGGTAAATAAACGGTTTTGTTTTCTTTGTTCAAAGGCAGTTGTTATTTTACAGAAATAAATGTCTGAATTGGCAGAAATGTAAATAACAACAATCTGGGACAGGAGAGTGTCTGTAATAAGTGTCAACAACAATCTGGGACAGGAGAGTGTCTGTAATAAGTGTCATTTGTTTTCTTTTGCTTTTTAACAAACCAAGAGAAAGTGACGTGGTTATGTTTTGAACATACTAATAGCCTTTCAGAATACGTAGAAACATTGGTTATCACGAAAAATATTTTGATAAACACGCCTTGATCGGCACTTGATTTGCGATGTGGTAAAGCAACTCCCTTTACTTACCTGGTCATTACCTGGTACTAATGTTAGCTCGGTGGAAAAATCAGCTAATGTGAATTATAACCATTCGCAAGACTGGAATAATTGCGATAGACATTACACCGTGAAAAGTCAGTTCTCTAGATGACTTTTTTTTTCAACCGATCAAGCGGTCAACGGTTTTTAAAAAAATGCAGAGAAAAAAACCCAAACAACTCTTATGTTAAAATTTATTTTATATAAACAAACCAGGGGTAATATAAACTGGCTGTCTATTATTTAGCTTTACCTATTTGATATGCCCGGCTCTCTAGCGTAGTTGGCTAAACCGGATTGAACGGTGACCGGGTGACGAACTCCTTGTGTTCTGGGTTCACTCCCTGGGGTAGGCAGAAAAGCCATATTTCTCCCAGATTTACGGTATTTACAATAGAATCAAGGCCGAAAGGTTGCGATATCCATAATACCGAGCCTAAGGGTTAACAACTCATGGCTTCTGGATACTCAAACAAACAAATAAACAAACGTGTTTGATATGGTTATTTTTATTATGTTCTCGTCTCTGTTATCATTATGATCTTTATAATGGGGGCGACTTTCGTGTTTCCTGTCCATCCACTTTGACACTGTCACTCAATACCATCTCATTACGTAAAAGCCGTAACTTTGTCAGCCTTTTTTTAATCCCCAATGTTTTCCTCGTTGCGGTGGGCCACCCACAGGGCTGGTGGACGGAGAAAGGAGAAAAGGCAGACCAAGAAAGACTTGGATACAGCATCTGTCTGAACATGCAGGCCTACAAAATGCAAACATCAGGTTCATTGCATTCGACAGACAGTTAACAGCAACTTGTGACTCAAAGACACGCAGTGTTATTTGTCTACAAACAATAATAAAGAAGTTAGGCTGCGATTGTAATGTCATCCCGTATGCCATTCTATCTTCCTGCTTCTTTATATGAATGCAGATAATTACATATCTATGTGTTTATTATATATACATTTTATACAACCTCAGTTGTTCGCTATATGTTTATTATTGTTAATGACGTACAATAAAGTGGAACGTGCCAATCAAAATCATTACTTTGAATTGGTTATATACTAGACACAGCTTTTCGGTCATATGTGTTTTTAATTACTGTTGTGTTTGTTAATCGACCTATGCTAGGTTAATGTGTCTTTCTGTAATCTGTTGTTCTGTTTCAATGGTTTGGGACGATTATGTCCGTATTTCATAGTTACTGGTTCAACTTTTTTTAGGGGTGTCAAGCTGGTCGTGCGTTTTGTACATTTATTCTGCAGTGAGTTGACGAGCTGATTTTTGACATGGTATCTATAGCTTGCGACTCGTATGATGTCTAATGTGTCGTTCTATTTTTCAACTTCTTTCTATGTGTGCCAATCAATACATTATTTGTTTGTTTACACATAAATAGGACTATGATGATGCTATTTGCTTTGTCTCTCAGATTTTAAACAACCAAGGCTGTGAAAAGAACCGTCTATGCTTGAGCGAAAGGCGGACGTCATTACCTGCTCCGCCAGTATAAATGAACAATGTTGCTTCATTAACTCTTTCGCTACCAGACAACTCAACATACATTTCTTAGTTGTTCTAGGTATAAGGAAATGATCTTACCATCTTCTGTCACAGACAGATAGATGTTTTATTAATATGTTGTGTCTAAATTACTAGTTTAACCATTTCTGATCCATCTCGTCTCTGTTGAACTACTTCAGATCTAAGTATTGATTGTTAGCTCAACTCATTGGAATAGGAGGGGTTAACGTGATAACTGCTTGGGGTCAAACAGAACACACACTCAACCTGACTGTAGCTAACTCAGAAAGCATGCAAAAGAGGGTGAGGTCAAGCATTCTTCGTGCAGAGTGGCATGCTTCCTTCCGGAGGTCACAGGTAAAGAGCACTGTCTGGATCTTTTTGTTGCCGGGATACCGGTGTGATGGGAAATAAACATGGGGACAGACTGGCCGGCTCTACAGAACTTGGTAGAAAACTGATGCGTGATAAAACAACGTGGTTAGGGTTTTGTGGGAGAACGTTTACAATTCGGAGGAAAAATGGATCACCACAGTCTGATGAGAGCGATGCAGCGGGGAGTGACGAGGGGATCTGGCCGATACTCGACGCTCAGAGGTAAGGCAAGACGGACGTATAATCAGAATGCTACTGGCACAACTTATACTGGAACTCTGCGCTGGCTGCAGAAATGGCGACAGGGCGCTTTTGGCAACGACCCGAGTGCTGTCATATCTCTTCTTGATCAACTCAACTCTATTTGGGACTGAGAGAGTTAGGTACCCCCCCCCCCCCCCCCACACACACACACACACACACCCCAGTGAGCTGTAAAGATAATTGTGTAACAGCTTGAAGTGTAACAACATGAGACATGGTGTAATTAATATGTTGATTTATTCTCCAAAGAACACTAAAACTTTTAATATTTATATAAATAATTTACAGAAGTTAAAGACTAAAATCGAGGATCTACTTTATTACACCGGTCTGTATCCAATAAAGCTCGGTCTCTCTTATCTCTCAGCCGCTTGTCCGCCTGCGGAGAGCTTCATACAAAGCACAAACATCGTTCTTCCAGCGACGATGCCCAGGGCTGTCTGTAACAATTGCAATCGTGAAGCGAAAGACGCAGCCGTGAAACGAACCCACGACCTTCAGGAGCATGAG